GGCCTACACAAGAGTTAAAACAAGCTCAGGAGAATCCCTGTTGTTTCCAGCCACCTTATGAGCCAAACACCTTCCTCCAGAGGTCTTGGTTCACATTATTTATATAGCAATCTCTTCTGATTCTGCTCAAAGACTAAGCACCTCTGAAGTCTGGAAAATTATCAAAAGGGGTGTTTGATCTTATGCTGCTTCTATAAGAAAAAGTCTCCCAGAAGAATGTGTCTCTGTTAAAACTACTCTATTTAATTCTTACAACCCTGTGGTTTCTATCAAGATTTGGACCCTTAAATTGCTTGGCATATTTTATTACTGTGTTATCTGCCTCCTTGGGGTATACAGCTGCTCAGTGAGCTTGTGTTTATAGAGCTCTTGAAGGTCCACAGATGGAGAGTGAAGAGAAGCAATCTATATTTTTACACTGTATATTCATGTACCCTCTTTTTCCTTAAGGCTTGGCCTCGAACACATGGATAAGTAAGGTTTGATATGATCCCCTTGGGCGTAGTGACAGAACATATTTTCTGTTTATTGCTTCAGAAAGTTGATTTCTATCAGTAGTGCACTACATTCCTATCCTAGCAGGAGTCAACACATCCCAAAGTAAAGTGGGTGATAAAATGAGAATTTTGTCTGTTGAGCTGCATCAGAATCAAGGCAGAATCAAGGCACAAGACACCAAAGCACAGAAACCTGACTGTGGTCTCAAACAGCCTCACAAGGGGAACTGGAGGGGCAAACATCAGTCTCCTCACTCTCGGGACCAGTGACAGGACCCAAGGGAACGGCATGAAGCTTAGTCAGGGGAGGTTTAGATATCAAGAAAAGGTTTTTTACCCGGAGGGTGGTTGAGCACTGGAACAGACTCCCCAGGGAAGTGTTCACAGCACCACGCCTGACTGAGTTGAAGAAACATTTGGACAATGCTGTCAGGCACATGGTGTGACTCTTGGGGTGTGCTGTGCAGGCCAGGAGTGGGAACAGAAACCACTGAGCAACACTGTGCACAAGTTGCTGCATAATCCTCTCTGGAGCAGTCCTGTAATCACACACTTTACCTGTGCCACAGCAGAGTTTCAGTTAGAGTCAGTACAGAGGAGCAAGACTATTTTCCCTGCTTTTCAACTCTGAATATACTTGAGGTCATCTTTTATATAACAGTTCTTTGCCTTTGTTTTGAGAAATCCTTCAGTAATGGACAAATGAGTCTACATTTATACCTACATCAGCCCACTACAGACCGTGCAATTACAGGTGGAGAAGCCAGCTGAAGAGTTTCCAATTATTCTGGGCAGTTCTGGTTACACTTCCTTAATCACAGTAGGATAAAGAAAGAGCAAAATGTGCCATCAGCATAATGAGCCCACAGAAATGGCCCATTACATTTAGAGACAGACAGACAAACACATATGGACAGACATTAGGAAGAAGTTTGTTTAGCTAATTTCCTAGTTACCAGTCACTGCAAATACCCCTAATTAACAATGCCCACAGACAAAAGATGTAAGAGAACAGTTAGTATTCCTGACTGCACACAGAGATATCTCGGATTTGAAATTTGTGTTCCCTAGTGAAAGTTTTTAAAGTACACATGGAGGACATCTCTAAGGACATAAGTGATAAAAGTAAGTTGGACAGGAATTCAGATTTACTTTTTACAAAAATACACTTCTTCCTGCTGCTTTATCAGATACCTAAGATTATCAGCCATATTCTGCCCAGCTGGGAGATGAGAGTTATTAACAAAGTAATTCTTACAAAATATTCATCAATTACACTTTGCAAGAAAACTTCCTCAATTTTGGCTTTTGACAATTCTCATAGTAGTCAGGTTAAATTCTGATCTGAGCACAAACAGACAAGCTGTTAACTGGTTGCCTTCTACAGAGATGCCCAAGTTTCTTTCACTGATGTTAACACAGTTTTCACAATTTTTGTAAAGGAGATATAGTGGAAAAATAAAAAAACAGTTTTTCAAGCAAGAGGGTGGACTAGATAGGCATAGCTGGTAACCCAGAATGGGTTTTGACTTCAGCTAAGAAGGCAGCCACGCATTTATGATCCCAAACAGTATTTTTCAAACATCCTCAGCTGAGGACACAAGTTGCTGTACTTTTGAAATATGATAGAAGAATGAGGACAGTTTTACTCCCATGGATTCACCAGGATATATATTACCAAATAACTACAGCATGCACTCCTTTATTTGATTCATCCAAGAAACTCCAGTTATTATGAGCCCATTTCAAAATCATGCCACAAGAGATATGGCCTCTTGTACTGAGTGAATGTTTAAGTGTAACATTGCCCAGCCATCCATTCAACTGCAAGCTTCAGAAAGCTAAATGCTGACAAATAGTCTGGGGTCATGTCTGTGAAATGTTCCATATGTGCTAGCTGAAAGAGTCTGATGCTAGCTTGCTCTCAAATGTTAACAACTTTGCAAAAACAATGCCCTCTCTTCTGCAGCAGAATTTTTTCTTGTTCAATCCCCAATAAAAGTAGGTTTTGATTTAGGTTTGAGAAAAACCTCATCTATCATTTAGTTATGACAAAGTGAAAAGAAACCGGATTCTTTGTTCTAAGGCAATTATGTACAGCTAAGAGCCAGAAGTGCTGGCCCTGAGCTGTGCTGAGCCTGTGAGCACCTACACTGGTGCACCACCACTTCTGCAGAAAAGCACCACTCCAGGTATTTAAGGTAAACATCCAAGGCAATCATTTCACTTTTCAGTCAAAGAAGTGAAAAGAAACCGGATTCTTTGTTCTAAGGCAATTATGTACAGCTAAGAGCCAGAAGTGCTGGCCCTGAGCTGAGGTCAGTGGGCCTGTGAGCACCTACACTGGCTGGTGGCCACACCAATTTGGACAATGCTGTCAGGCACATCAGGCAGAGATGGTAAACATCCAAGGCAATCATTTCACTTTTCAGTCAAAGATAAACATCCAAGGCAATAATTCCACTTTTCAAAGAGCAAGCAAGTCCCACTTTCCCAACAGGCCTGTCCCTTCTCTGCAAGGTTACTCTCTTGGGAAGCCCAGGCAGAGCTGCAGGCGCTGGGTGTGGCAGCGTGGGACAGAGCCACGGCACACGGAGCAGCAGAGGGCAGGGGACACAGGAGGGGACACAGCCAGCCCTGCCCACCTGGTACAGCCCAAACTGCTCCATCTGCCAGGCTTAAGGCAATGCTTTCAGAAAGCCCTGACCAGGAGAGCCCCAATAAACTGAGGGATCTCAATCATGACTAAACAGCTGCCAAAAAGAGAAAAAAACAATAAAGTGTATGTCTAGGAAATGTTTTTCACATATCTGATAATAAGTAATTTGTTTGTTGAAGATAAAAGTCATTTGTTTGGTTGCAGGGTTTTTTAAGTTACAGTTCTGTGAGAGACATGCAATTTTAAAAGCAACAACCTGTGTTAAATTTATCACAACTTTGCAAGGGGAATTAGAAACCTGAAGCTTAACTTATGAACAGCTCGTGGGGACAAATGCTTCACAACACAGCTTCACATTAATTACTGTAATGTAAACATGAAAAAAACTGTACTGCAATCTGTTCGTGCTTGGACAGGTCAAGGCTCTGGGACCTCCTCAACATGAAGGATATTTGCAGGGAAAATAAAAAAGCCCACATAGACACATTGTCACAGTACCCAACAATTTCCTTGGACATCTGATAATACCTAAACTTACCCTTAAACAGAAAAGTTGAATCTATGCTATTAATATGATCAGCTAAAATCACTAATTACGACATTTTCTAGACTCACTGCTGTGGAAGAAACAAGAGAATAACATGAATTCTAGCTACTTTTCAGCCTTAAAAAGAAATGTCTGTCCAACAATCAAATGTGAAGATACATAACAATTACAATAAATATAGGTATTTTACATATATGCCTGTGATATTGTGGAATCCCTCCAGTTATTGGCCATTAATATGAGTTTATAACAATATATTTATATATAGCTGTTTCCAGCCTGAAGCATCCCCAGTTTTGACTAAGTTAAAAGCCAAGTTCTTCAGGCATCATGACTGATACCTTAATGGGCAGACTCAAAACTATTTTAGGCCTTTTCCCAGTAAATCCAGAAGCTTTAATTGTTTGTATTTTTCTTTTGATGCCCACAAGAGCATATGAATTATGCCAAGTAGATTCATTATCCATTTTGATGACTTATGACCACAGATACTGTGATTTCAGGTGTTTTGGTCTTCATGTAATTGTTACTCCTCCTTTTTGACAAAGATTAATTGAGAAAAGCAGTGCCACTAGGGTAGGCATTTATATAATCAAGACTGCTGTCATCTATTCTTGGTGTCATAACTCAGACCAGTTTCACAGGCATCACTGTGAGTGCAAAGGAAACATAATAGTGACATTTAAGAAGGTTAAGACAAAAACAACAGTACACTTGATTTCAACCGCTATTACTTAAAGGTAAGTTAAGATACGGACTCTGTTAAATTATGTACAATTGTTTCATGAGTAATAAAAATTCTATATTAAAGCAGTTCTAGAGGTTTTCCCCATCAGATTTTTTTAATAAACTTAAAGCTTTTTTGTTTTTTTTCTCGTCCTAAAGTTTCACTAAATGTAAGCAATTTGGTGGTGACATGAGCTAAGGAACCTTGCTGTGAGATTTCACACTAGAACACAGCACAATAGTTTTTAAAAAATAACAGTTGTGGCTATGGTAACCCAAAGTGAAATACATTATTTGCATCAGTTCATAACCATATTGAGATGCAATTTACACATTCCTGGTGTAACAGGACATAACTGATGTAATCACAAATCACCTATCACAACACGAAGCCACAGTGTTTTTTAAACTTGTTTATGAAAAGCATTCATGGGGGAAAATGCACAGACCTGTCCCTTGACATCTTATGGGTGACTTAAAGGAAAAGATAAAGAAAATAATAAGATTTCTGCTTTAAAATATTCTACTCTCATTTTCTGTTTCTAATTTCTTTTCTCTCCCTTTTACTTAGTGCAAATGATAAATGCTTGAAACGCCTTCTACTAAAGACAGCAGCAAAACTCCCATGAACTGGCTGCAGGTAAATCACTTGCAATCACCATTACAGCAAGATGAACACCTGACTGGCATGTCTAAAGTTCCAGTATTATTCTGAGTTGAGTAAAATTTAGCTTATAACCATTCTAGATTGGTATCTGACCAAGCACAGCTGATTTGCTAAACTTTAGAAATCCCCTGTGCACACAGTCCTGGTCTGTCTGGTCTTTCCTTTCACCTCCTCCACATGGAATCAGCTGTGTGATACCACCAGTGACTAAATGGTCACAGTCATTCTACGTTTGTGACAGAAAAACTTGGTTTTAAAATATGACCAAAACAGCAAGAGAGCTACTGAAAATTGAATGTTAAGATGTTCCAAAATGGATAAAACCCTATTGCAATGTCAAGAGGATATGAGACTTTACAAAATCATATTTCTTTTTTCCCCCTGGTTAGCTTAGAGAAAGTAGGGAAGAGATTTCAGCATAAAAAATACTTCCTGAGTTGCAAAACCTGAAGGGGAAGTTATAGCTGTAATGGTCCTACTGCACAAACCAAGCCAGTGAGAAAAGCTGCTCAAAAAAACACTGAGATCCTACCTCTATACAATGTCAGCCAAGGAATGGTTCTTCATGCCAAGCTCATATTTCCTAACAAGTAATGTATTCCATTCCCTTCAGTCATGGTAAATCTGGTCGGTTTGTTAATCAAAATATTCCTAAATTTTTCTCTCAACAGTTTCATTCTCTGCAATTGAAAATTTTACTTCACAGCTTAGTCATGGTGGACACTGTTTACTTTTTAACTTGCAAATTATTTTGCTGAGAAAAAAATACTTGCATGATTTGTTCTTAAACATGAGAAAGAAAGCAATTAAATTGCCATTTAGTTGTTCTATGTGGGCTGTTTCAGCACTTCTTCAAAACAGAAAATCCTGGTTTTATAGAGAGAGATTCATTGAAAAACTCTAAAGTGGAAAATACAGAAAAGTCACTCAGGCAGATTTACTTTCCTTTAGACAATGTTTAACTCTTAAAAGACTACAGTATAGCTCATTAAAGATTAGGGAAGTTTCAGTTGGACAAGCACATTTGCTGAAAATTCTATAACTTGCATTTTCCCTATAGAAGCTTTTGGTAAGATTCCCCAATGGACAGTAAGTACATTGCTTCTTTTTGTTCACATTAGGAGGTAGTAAATATTGGGAAATAATTTACAAATACTGCATTTATTTCCAGAGATCAGTTCTTCAATTTAATGATGAACTACAACAGAAACCATCTGCAAATCAGCATTCATGAAAAGAGAACTGTTATTATGAAATATGCACTTGTGCAAATACTTGCTTTCACATTCAGGTTCTGCCTAGTGTAAAGCCTATCATCAATACATTTGTGAACAAGGAATGGTCCAGAAAATATTTGTCCTCATTGTCTTTGAGGAAGAGAAGGGAAGCCTGCTTCTTTTAATATATGACAGCTATGAACCTTCTGAACAGAAGAATTTATTTCTCTAAAAAACATGGACCTGAATGAATGCTGGTACTTTCTTCCCTTGAGCCCAAGACTGTGGCTTCTGCATCTGTTACAGCCCTTTCCACAATGTTATAGAGAAGAAAGTCTTTTTTGCAGCACTGATTTGGTTTCAGAACCATTACACCCAGGCAGAATAAGCATTTAGAATATATAAGAAACTTTAAATGAAGTTCCCAGAAAGGAGGTTGCAATCTTCTGCTAAATCACCTGTGCCATCTGTCCAAAATTTCCCCCAGAAATCACTATGAAAACATACAGCCTAGAACATAAGAGATCCCCAGATTTCCATGTAGATGTGTTCTTAATGTTCAGTATAATTATCTTCTCAACAAGATTTAGTAATAATCACAGACTTTTCCTTAGGTAATTTAAGGATTTCATAAATGGTGAAGGCATTTCAGCATCTTGGTCTATATACAGATTAAAGCCTTCATCATAGAAAACTTACAAAAATGACTCTTCAGGGAAAATTAGAAGAGTTTGCTACATTTACTAAATAATTTAGCAGCTGTAGTCCCTCTTTTTTCCAGGGAAAGGAAAAGGTACATTTTAGCAGAGATGCACAGTGCTCATTTGACTCAGTTGTGCTCTGCCTAACAGACTCCTGGGTGTCAGGATGAACAGCTGTGATCTCCCTTGACTTCTCACCCAGGGTCATGCCCAGGACTCAGTCAGCACCCCGCCTGCCTGCACTCAGCACCTCCCTCAGCAGCAGTGGCACACCTGGATTACAGCTATGGCAACCAGCCAGGCTCCAAGAGCTGTGCCTTCTATCACCTGCTTGCACTGTGATCGAGACACATTAACGCAACTGCACTTAGATAGGACAGGCTTTCTTGAAAGAAAGATCAACAGCCTCTCACAGAGACAGCAGCATTCCAAAATATTGGCAAAATATTGCCCTTGATGAGTGACGTTAGCTGAACTCATCTGGCGTCTGCCTGAAAATTGCCCATGAACAGTTAACAAGATTCTCAAATGTGCTCATTACCTGGAGGATTATTCTTGATGTGCAGTCAGCTCATAAAAGGTTTGATGCAAATACAGTCCTCATCAAGACAATTACTTACAGAAGTTACACAGTCCAGCTTTCTGTGCTCCCACTGGCTGGCCTCTCTGGCTTGCACACACCAGCTGTGAATAGTGCAATTAAACACACAACTTTGTGTCACAGAATGGAAACACAGTGCTAAACACTTGCTTTTTGCCATCGTCTGTCCTCAATGCTTGAGTCTTGTATTACTTATAGTATGACTACCAGGTTAGAAAAAGAGACAGATTGAAGTAAAACAATTTTAAAAACAAGGATCCAAGAGCTTAAACATTGCTACTGTCCTGCTAGAAAACTTTCTTTCACTTGAAATAGAAAAAGGAAAGGACATGACACCTACCTTTGCCTGTGTAATTATCCCCAAATGTGATATAGTCTATTCCAACAGACAAAATCCAAAGCTGATAAAAGCTTTCCACTCTCCCTGTGACATCCCATATCCCCCTGGTTAGAAGGTCTTCGAATTTCAACACCAAATTAAAGAAGATCATGGCACAAGTGAAAAAAGAAGTCATCCTTATAGTGATAATATACTGGATACAGCATCTAAATGGATTAAAATACAATATATAAATTAATTTGCTGCACACTTAAATACTGAAGGCAACTTTTGATATATTAATGATTGATTAGGTTAAAAATATTCTGAATAACTTTTGGACAAACTGCTAAAGTACAGTAACTTGGGCATTGAAGTGCTTTCAGTCATTATTCTGATCATAGTGATCTTAGTTCACATACTTTACTCCTCTTTTCCAAATGAGTAATTAACACAAAAATTTTAATTCACTATAATTTGAGTACATTAGCTTTACACTCTGATTTCACTCCATATAATTCATATCCTTGATATACAAGTCCCACAAGGCTGTAAATTTATTACAGGTCACAACACATGACAAAAAAATGGTCTGCTGCCACAGACTTTGATACTGTGAATAATTTTGCAGAATTCCTAGAATTATTCCTCTGTTGCAGCTAAGCTGGAGTTAGTTGCTTGTTTAGGATCTTGATTAATTAGCATCATCTCTAATAACAGAATTTGGCAACCTCTGAAAATCATGACTGCTAAATCATCACAAAGTAAATATTTCACTGCTTAGTTCATATTTCCCAGCCTAATCAAGTTAGGTATTTTCTTATACAAATACAAAATACACATTATTGAAATTACTGGGCAGGACCAATGTTACCAGAAATAACCTGTAGGAGCATTTGCCCTGTGGCCAAAAAAATACACAACATAGCTACTTATTCAACCCCTTTGTGATCCTACAAAGAGGAAGTGAGATCAGTCCTAGAGGCAAAAATAATCCCACCTAAATTACAGACCAAGACTTCTCAGCTAATTGCATTAGCTATTTATATAGGTATTGTATTTTTTCTTTCAAATCTCTTCCCTGTGTATAGCACAAAGCTCAAGTAAACTATAATTTTTACATCTTTAACTAACAAGAGCTGAAGTAAGAGGTAGCTCTCATTTTGGTTTTCCCCTCAATCTTCCTCAAAAATAAGTAAATGTAAAATTTCATTCATCAGGAAAGTTACAGCCTGTGCACTCTTAACCATTTCACCTGCACTTTGGTCAAAAATTCTGCAGGGTTGGTGTAGAACACTCTAAACCAAAGCAAACCATCTCAACTCTTATTGTTCTCTTAAACAGCAATGTTAACAAAAAAAAACAAAACAAAAAAGAAAAAAAAACAAAACAAAAAAAAAAAAGACCAAATACGCAACAGAAAAAGATAAATTTGTTTCAAGACCCAGCAATCCAAGGGCCAATATAAGAAGCATTCATCCCACACAGCTACCTATAGATTTCATAACTGAGAAAAAAACTCCCTACAACTGCTCAGAATCTTTTTTCAAAATAGAGTAAGGCTTTTTTTGCTTCTAATCCTTTCAGAGCACACAAGATTGGATATCACAGCCATGACATTGCTGGACTGAAAAGCAATTTTATGTAATTTTGCAGTTTCTAAGAGGCATTGGTTACAATTTTCCTTTCCCTCAGACATCTGCACAGTGTTCATGGTAACTAATGCACCTATCCTTTTGAAAGAAAAGGATATGTATGTGTATGCAGAACATCATACACTTTTAGATAATGCAATATGTAGTTTCCTAAAATAATACATCATAAGCAGAACATTACACCTACTTGTGAGACCTTAATGCTGGAGTCCATTAAACACACTGACTTAATGTATCTCTCGCTCTACAGCTCCACTTCACGATTGCTGTATTTCTTTCTTTATTAACGCAGTTTTCTAGACTTTACACTCTTGTGCCTTCATTACATTATGGCTTTTTGCATTTGGTGGTTTTCCTCACTGGCATTTCCAGTGGGAGCATTAGCAGAGCTTCACAGTGAAGCAGGAAACACAACCAACCTACCAGACCAGGGATGGGTTTTGCCTTTCTTAGAAATGTATCACAGCAAGTTGTTAAAGCAGGATACATCCCCTCTCTGGACATTACAGTAGCATCTGTGTATAAATTTATCACAACCATATTTATTTAGGATGTACATGTATCTGCCCTGCCAAGATTGCTGTGTTCTGCAGCCCTGTGGAGCAATTAAAGGTCTCACTTAAATGCACTACTCCCAAACATTTGCTGGTACTGCTTGGTGGGAAAAGATTGCAAACCCTTAGTCCCGTGACAAGCAATGAAGGAGATCACAGCCCACCTCTAGCTAATTAAATTGCCCCAGTTATAGGGCAAAACTAATTGAAAGTGATGAAGCTCTGAAACAGGCAAAAAATTCACATTACCGTAGTTTGTGAAAGGGAAGAGCAGCATGTGAGTTCCGGTCATTAAATAATTAAAAGTGCATGTAATGAAGACTAGCAGGACAGTACTAGCTATAAGAATTTATAAGAAGAATGCAGTCTGTATAGATTTAGCAAATGTTCAGGTTGTTTCTCTGTTGTTCTTAAACTTCAGTGTGAAATAATGCACAGGGTACCTAACAGTCCTTTCATTCCAATGGCCTGCCAAGGGTCTGACTGCAATGTGTCAGTGGTGTGAAATCAGAGAGGACGTTTCTAAGACAAGGCTTCTATCTTTTTATCTGAATACATATTTTGTTCTATCCAAAGTAAATGTTAAATATTTCTGAGACTCTTGCAAAAAGACTCTCTGTTGCATGCTTCTACTATCCTTTAGCTCTGAAGTAATGCAACAGTAAAAATCAGGAAGGTGAAGCCCACAGGCACTCTCCAGCAGGCTTGAGGCAGCTTGTCTCATTTCCACAAAATGATGATAAACTGAACTGGTTCCCAGCAAAATCGCCAAGAGCAATGGAATGTTCAGAGCTGACAAATTCCCTCCATCCACCTGATGCTGGAGGCAAGACTGGAACAGGGCTGCCAGTGCCAGAACGCTGTCCAGGCAGGCAACCCTCTGCACAGCAGCCAGTGAAGTACCACCAGTACTAGGCTGCCATCATGATTCATCTTACATGGTCCACAAATTATGTTTGCTCATGGAAAGACTGCTTTGGGGGGAGAGAAGGAAACCAATAGGAATAACTGAACTGTGTTAATTTATTTTTAGACTTTTATGGAACCTACTCAAGCGCTGATCTTTGAATGGGTAAGACAGCATACATATCTCTCTCTCTCTGTTCTGTACCTTTCCCAGTCAGTTCCATTCTGTCTGATTTCCACCAAAGTGTGTTCTTGTTAGCAGGACACACATTAACATTTAGACCAAATTAGATTTGTAAGTATTTGTGTGCATAGCTGCCACAGATGCTGCCAATCCTAGAGCAAAGTACACTATTTTCCATTCTTTAAATAATTTTAAAATGTTCCACAGTACATTTTGAAAGATTGGCCAGAAGAAATGCTAAGAAAGAAAATGCTAGAAACCATAAAATTATTTTCATATGCCTTTAAAATTATCTAAATGGTCAACATGCTATGAATGCTTATCTTCTTTTATATAAAACCATCTGTGAGAAATTACCAGTCATAAAGTCATTACTTCAGTTTTATTGCTCTATTCCAGTACACTACCTTGCATTTTGGTACCTCATAAGAAAAAAAAAGGAATATCTGAGAAATGCATTAAGACACTTATCTTATTAATGGCCAACCATATATAAGGTCATTTTTTGTGCCCTAGGCTTTTATGGTCTTGCAATGGAAAATTTTTCTTCATATGTTTCAGAAATAACAGAAAATTTCAAGAAATGGAAGCCGCTGCTAGTAAAAGAAGAAAAGCTGAGTATCATCAGGGTTAATAGCTCCTATTTGAGATCCATGAATGATTACAGAGTTACTTTTCTATATCGAACTTTCAAGTTTCATTAATACTATGCTGCCTCCCCAGGACACAGGTGCACTCACGGTACCAAGGCTATCGGTTCGTCACATGGAATAGAAGAGCTAGAGGAACAATGCCTTCTAAGGTCTCATGTTTATATATTTTGACAGTAGTTTGTTGGGCAAGTGCTCTTTGGTACCTAAGTATAACTCGTCCTACTTCTTCCTACACGGGCCACAGACAGGTCAGCAGCATATCCATAGCCAGAAAAAACGTTTCCTTTGGAAACATAAGAACTCGACCTATAAATCCACATTCCTTTGACTTCCTTATCAATGAACCCAACAAATGTGAGAAGAGCGCCCCATTCTTGGTCATTCTTATCAGTACGACTCACAAAGAGTTTGATGCAAGGCAAGCCATTCGAGAAACGTGGGGCGATGAAAACAACTTCAAAGGAATTAAAATCTCCACTCTGTTTCTTCTTGGAAAAAATGCAGATCCTGTGTTAAATCAAATGGTAGAGCAAGAAAGCCAAATTTTTCATGACATTATTGTGGAAGATTTTATCGACTCTTACCATAACCTCACTCTGAAAACGTTGATGGGGATGAGGTGGGTAGCAACATTTTGTTCGAAAGCGAAGTATGTTATGAAGACAGACAGTGATATTTTTGTAAATATGGACAATCTTATTTATAAGCTGCTCAAACCTAACACCAAGCCAAGGAGAAGGTACTTCACAGGTTATGTTATAAACGGAGGACCAATAAGAGATGTTCGCAGTAAGTGGTACATGCCCAGAGATTTGTATCCCGACAGCAATTACCCACCCTTCTGTTCAGGCACTGGCTACATTTTTTCAGCTGATGTAGCAGAAATGATTTACAAAACCTCCCTTCATACCAGACTTCTACATCTTGAAGATGTGTACGTTGGACTCTGCCTTCGGAAGCTGGGCATCCACCCCTTCCAAAACAGTGGCTTCAATCACTGGAAAATGGCCTACAGCTTGTGCAGGTACCGCAGGGTGATCACAGTGCACCAGATAACACCGGAAGAAATGCACAGAATTTGGAATGACATGTCCAGCAAGAAACACCTTAGATGTTAAGATTTTTACAATTGTAAATACCTTTTTTAAAGTTTTGGTTGAGTTTGGTTATTTTTTGACAAAGTGATCTGCTGATTTACAGGTTAAACTGTGGGATATTAACTGTGAAAGGATTTTTAATGACTGATTTTTCATTCTCACTTTGACTACTGGTTTACAAACTTCAGGCTCTTTTTCTTAAGGACATTATGCCAACTGAAAGAATCTGGAGTCAAATCTCAGATTTTGTATATTATCACCTATTGCACATATCCATTCTTGCATCTGTGTGTAAAAGGACAGTAATAAACTATTATGAGCTGCTTAACAATTCACACCCCAGCCTCTGAGATAAGACTCAGGCTCTAAGAAATGAAGAACTACAAACATACTTTTATTCTTCTTTTGACACCCCACAACCATCTCTATTTAGAGCCTTGTTAATAAATTAAGCAGCAAACATTTGCACTGAACTTATATACCTACTTTGACATGTGTATTTTATAGTACGTGTGCAATTCCCAAATAGCTTACTAATGGTGTAATAGCAGAATTTAGACAGGTAAGAACATCAGAGTTTCACTGGCCTTAGAAACAAACCCACACACTGAAATAATATTTTCACCCACCAAATGGCATTTATTTAAATTATTTCAGAATAACCCATTTCTTTACACTTCTTAAAATAGCCCATAAAATATGTAACACAATTTAAAAATTAAGTAAATCTGTAGGTGAAATAAGACAGAGGAGACATATGAAAAAATATCTTTAAAATATATGAGAAAAGCATGAATATCTTAACTTATAATTTCAAAGCAAGGCAATGTCTCTCATTAGTATTAATGGATTCTCCATGAAACACCTTGAATAGCAATATATAATTATACTGAATGCTAAAAGTGTCAATAAGCAGCATATTTCAACATCAGTCAGTGCACTATTTATCTGAAAACAAGTAACAGAAAAGCAGCTTTTTAAGGGGAAGCTTTACTTTTTGCTGCAGTACATATAGAAACAAGATTCTAACAGATTTTTAATGGTGTAGAAAAGAGGAATTTAGCCCAATAAAAGAATGCAATCAATTTTCTGTTGACTGGACATACAACAGAGTACATAACATGTATCTACAAATTTCACAGCAAAATAGAGGGTTTTAAAGGAAAAAAAATATTAAAATTACACAAATTCTATCCTTTTTAAAAACCTTTTAAAGTTCTCAGTTTACTCATCACAGTCAATACTCACTGAGGTCCCACTCAGGAGATCAAGTACACAAGATTTATTCAAGTTTCATAACATGCTTATATGTATTTTAAATATTAATGTTTATGAAATGTCATGACAACTCTTTGATAAATTCAGGCCATCTCTATTCAGTACCACCTTACAACAAGGAGCTGAAATATGATATTGCTCAGCAAATAACTTGGAATGAAGAACTCACACACAAGTTACAAAAAACAAAACTCACCACCCACTCAGGAGATCAAGTACACAAGATTTATTCAAGTTTCATAACATGCTTATATGTATTTTAAATATTAATGTTTATGAAATGTCATGACAACTCTTGATAAATTCAGGCCATCTCTATTCAGTACCACCTTACAACAAGGAGGTGAAATATGATATTGCTCAGCAAATAACTTGGAATGAAGAACTCACACACAAGTTACAAAAAACAACAAAACTCACCATATATATTATCAGCTGAAGACTGCTCACACCATGCTCAGCACACACAAGGTCTCTTTCATTGCAGCTGGCATTATGTGTAACATATGCAAACTGTTAAGTCTGTATGTTATTCAGAATGTCTATAAAGTTGTCAGAAATTAACTGAAGAATAATTTAGAGGGAAACTTTGACCTGATTTTGCCATAGACGTACACAGCACTTTACAACAGCAACAGAGGAATGAAGATGCTATCCTAAAAGTTTTGCAGTTTCATGGCAAATTGTTAGTCTTGTTCACAGATGCAGCACTATCATTTCAAAAGAAATGACTTGTAAATAAGGTAAAGTGTACCTGGCTTTTAAGGCACTAGCAGGAGCCATCTCGAGCAAATCTATCTGAAGATGAAGCTACACAACAGGCAGCCTAGGAGTTACTGTTAACAGGAGCTTGTGTACCCTTCATAAATAAAAATAACCCAAACCAAAAACCTAGTAATTTTTGTAAGAACACTAAATCTCTTCCAGACTAATTAAAGAGTTATGCTTCCCTGGCTGATGTAGTCCCTATTAAAGCTGCTATGCCCTATTAAATCCAGAACTTCCAAGGTGCAACTAATTGCATAAGTGACTATATAACACGCTGATTGGGTGAAGTTCAGATTTCCTTACACAAGTCCCATAATATTCTTGTTTATGAATGGAAATGCGGGAGGAATTCATCCCCAGCCCTTGGGTAAATCAGATAGCACAGATGCCATCCTGCCCAGAACATATTTTGTAATAATTTGAACCCGCAGGCTGCAATCACTTCTGCTATCCCTCTGCACTGTGCAGCAATCTGGGGGTTCTGAATCACAAACAAATGGATTTGGTTGCCTTATTTCTGCTGATGCTTCTGTGGCCTTTGCTTAGTAACCAGGAGGACAGCAGGGCTCCCAATCCAGATACCTCAGGGCTCAAGCAGCATGGTAGCCTTGAATTTCTCCTAATACAAGTAGATTGCATTAATAATTGCAAGGTACACCTTGAAAATAGTATCTGAAAAAGTGTATTTCCTGCCATTTATAAATAGACCTTCAACAGAAATGTAAATGTTCATCTTGAAACTGATGTACATATTTCTAAGGCATTTTCTTCTGTATTCAGCTGTATATATGTGTCAGTCTGCTTGCTAGGTAGGATTCTGTTATGCATGGAGCTGAGTGAGGCATTATATTTGTCCAGTGTTTCAAGAGCCTTAAGCATGTGTGCCCTAACTTTTGAATGTACAAGATACTTTTTCTTTTGCTGTCAAGTAAATTTAAAACAACACAACAAAATCCTAATTTTCTACTTCTATTAATTTTCTGGTATTGGATTTCATTAGCTAGTTACACTTAGATTTATTGTTTTCACCTTGCTCAGAAATTTCCAAAATATTGGAACCTAGATATGGAAAGGTTATACATCTACTTTTAGGGACAGTTTTCCCTTCCACTCAGTAGTATTTGTGCCATGTGGGATACTGTTAAGAAACAAATGTTTTCAATATACTTCCTTTAATAAAAAAAAAAAATTTACATTACTTAAAGGTCATTTTGTTTCATTGGGCATGGGACAAATGACAACTTGGTCAAACATGCTGGCTTCTAGTCACTTCAAAAGTTTGACTGTAATCACATTTTGATTCCAAAATGCATATGAAAAAAGCACATTGAGTGAAGCAGCTGGGGGGAAGTGCCTCTCTTTAGGAGGAATTTTTTCACAAAAGCATTTTTCCTTTTTTTATTTTGCTAAAACAATGAGAGTATTTAAAGAGAAGCCTCAAGGTTCATTTTCCATATTTCCTAATAATAATGTTAAGTATCAATTTTGATTATTTGAGGGTTTTTTGTCTTTATAATGTAGATGGCAATGGCAATTTGTAAATGAAGAGTGTAATTAACTAGAAAAGCTTGTCAACAGTAACCGAAATTTAGGTGTATCATTATATATGACTGGCTGTACTTATGTATTTATTTGTCTAAATTGTATATATTGTTTTATCTGTAGTGTCTGTAGGAGTGCATTCTTTTAGATTAATGTATTATTTACAGTTTTGTGGGATTGCCAGCAAAGCTGCTAATCAAGATACTATTTTTTTGTATCAATGTCAAATAATAATAAAAAAAAAATCAAGATAAAAATGGAAGGTGTCCTGCCTGTAAGTTTTCTTCTTCACCTCTTTCTAGAAAAGTAAATTGTATTACCTGAAAACAAGTGTCAGTGACTTGGCTCATTTGTCATGAGGAAGAATATAGTGCTGTAAAAGCAGATTTAAAAAAAATTGAAAAAAAATTAAAAATAAATACTACTTTTATTCATTATTTGTGCAACAACTTCATCAAGCTGATGTCCACACGGATGAGGTGTACTACTTCATCTGAAGTTTCTGAACTTCAAAGCAGTAGTATCAGTGCAGCCATGGCAATATCTGGCAAAGCAGCACAGGGGTTCATCCTCTGCCCTGCCCTATTTAGCTGCTTTGGCATCCCCAGCCAATGAGACCCAGACTTGGCCAGTCTGAGGTGGCAAAGCTTTTTGACACCCTCAGCAGGGCTCTTCTGCTACTGGCATGGTGGCTTAACATGTGGGCTTGCAGCTATCAAAAGCTGCATGCAGGAGAAAAGGAGAAATGTCCCAAACCCCACATCACATCAAACCACAATGAAGTTGTTGGAAGCTGCTGTGTCACCAGCTGGGTCACCCACACAGAGGGAAGGGGTCCTCCCGGGTCTCTCACATCACAGTGACCATGACGGAGCCTTTTGACCCCAATATCCAAAACTCAAACTCATTCATGACATGGAGGGGCAAATAACCCCACCCCTGAGAAGAAAGGTAACTTCTGCAAACCAAAGTGGTCACCAGAAGTAGTTGAAGCCTCCATAGAGTCCTCAGGCATCCCAGGAATGTCGCAGCAACCTTAAAAAGCAACCAAGAGTTTCACATACAGCAAAACCCCTCCAATCGTTTTCATCTCTCATGTTTCCACCAAAGCAGCCTGAGTCTAATTGCAACACTTACATGGTGTTTAATTAATAGACAGCTTGGAGATATACAGATATTAGCACTAGTAGGGTAGATTTCATGTAGCTTGATTATCTTAATTACAAGCATTCTATTTTCTCATTTACTTAATTGATTCTCATAGATTTTCCAGAGAAATTTACAGTGCCCTGAGTGGAAATAGTATGCAGAAAACCTTCTTAAAACTGCTGACACTGGCCTATTACAGCAGCAATGCACCAAAAAAGGCAGATCTATATGACAGGGAACATTGTACTGAATAGCATCTGCTACCTTTTCTCTTGTTAAAAAATATGAATTTATGAAATGGAAGAAGAGGAGTCATCTGGGGAGAAAAAAAAAAAGAATGTACCTTATTTATTCAACCACACCTGCAATTAAGTTGTGTCAAGTATCTCCTCTGATGACTTGCCTAACACAGGAAAAAAATTCATTTTTCTGCTAGGTCTGCATATTAGCCGAATCTATATTATACCTCTGCCTCACCTGAAAGAGCCAAGAGCAAGAGGCATTTATTAGTCATGCAAGATTTATCCTTGAGCACTTGTTCTGCAAAGGCAGCATTACATATCAAGCTGGACAGAATTAAGTGCAGTGGTTTTGTAATGCAGACAACTTTTATTTGGGTGAAGCAAATACCCCAAACTTTGGGTGTGCTGGCTGATACCTACCATACTGCATCTATCAAGCATCTCTTAAAAAGAGTTCCTTTCTCTGGCCTATTTTCTAACATGACATCTTTCTCCAAAAAGAAATGGGACCTCTAGGTATCTCAGGATAGCAGTAAAAACATCATTACAAGCTTTTCCCTTGATTTTGAAAAGTCGCTTAGCCACTTTCTCCAAAAAGAAATGGGACCTCTAGGTATCTCAGGATAGCAGTAAAAGCACGGGGGAAGCATCATTACAAGCTTTTCCCTTGATTTACAAAAGTCGCTTAGCCTTGCTCTGTCCTTCTGTCCTTCTGTACTTTTAATCTGATTCAATCTGGTACATTTCCCTGTTATTTCCAAAACTCTTTCCATTTTCTTTATGTGCTTTTGCATAGCTCAGCATTCTCCAGTCTAAAAGTATCCATTCAAACCAGCCACAAAGATAAGAACAGGTTGTTTCTCTGAAGACAGGGCCTTTGCCTGACAGGTTTACAGTCCTACACTAATATCTGGCAAACTGATTTCAGCAAGTTTCAAGGGACAAGTAGCACTTGAAGTTTTTCCTTCAAAAACCTTTTCTTTCATATTTCCTAGTTCAGGTATATGGGGGGAAAAAAAGATCTATCATCTTTCATCTTGCCTCTGCCTGCCGAGATCACTATCACAAGTCTAAGGTTGTTTGGCTTTTTTTCCTTATTCCTTTTACATTTCCTCACAATCTTGGATAGTTCATCACAACTCATGTTTCACTTTAACTCCTGCTTAATCAGGAATACTTTATTTCACAATTTCAGTGTTTTAACCCTTTTATCTGCTTGTGCTCTCTGTGCTGCCCCCGCTGCCCCCATACCTGGCTAAGTCAGACATGTGGTATTGAATCAGAGTATTTGCACGAAGGCTGAGCACAGCAGTACTTCTCTCTGTCGCTGTCATGGAGCTATCAAAAACGGCATTATCGGATTCGTTTCACCAGACAGGACAGCTTGTCTTACTAATATCACATTTGCAGCAGAAAAGGAACTTCCGCTAGCCTCTGGAGCAGACACCAGGTCTGCGAGGCTGCAGCAGCCCCGGGCACGGCAGGTGCT